TGACAGGAAACAAATCCCTCAGAGAGAAAGAGAAAGAACCCTTGATTGGAGGAATCACTTTGAGAGGTATTGCTTGAGGAGGAAGTGAAAGAAGCCCCCTGACTCGCTGAGAGTGGCTTTCACAGGCGCTGCCTCACGACTGGGCTAGGCCCTCAGGGGATAGAAAAGAGGAAATAAACCCACTGACTCACTGAGAGTTGTTTTGGAGGCGCTGTCTCGTGACCGAGAGGAGGAGAATCAGTAGGTTAAAGCTGCTTGAGAACAGTGAGGCCGGGGGTCCCCTCTGACTCAGACTCACGCTGTGAGGACCTCCACAGGAGGGGTCAAGGTGGTGCTGCCTACCTGAGGTCAGGGAAGTGAGTTTCCCTGACCCCCAGAGGGAACCTGACTGCAAAGGCAACATGAAAGAAAGAGGAGGGGGAGGAAGGTGGAGGGAACTCAGAACTTTAGACGTGAGTGTTGGTGTGGTTAGGGTTTAAACAGTAAATTGAACGATAGGAAAGGGGAGGAGCTCCCCCTAGCATCTTCCCCCGAGCCTTCACTTATTTCCATTGAGAAATGTGCATTTCATGAGATAATCTGATGGTTGTCCGTTGTGTCCCGACGATGACGGTTGTACTTTGTGCAGCTCACCTGTTTGGAAAATGTGCTGCATGAAGAAACCTGTGCAGGAGAGCTTTTTGAAGTGGGAAAGCCGTTGCACTGGGGCAGTCCCACTCTCTTGACCTCAGAAGCCTGGCTCCAGTGGTACGGGTAGTCGTCCCAACTGGAGACTTCCTTGGTTGCAGTGGATGGCCATGACACCTTCCTGTGTCTTGTCATTCCCTTCTCTTTCCACGGAGCATTGCGACAGTATAGTGTCCCCATCACTATACTGGGGCATTAGGACCCACACAGACCACAGGGTGAGCGCCCCCTGCTGGCCCCACTAACACCTCTTCCAGCAGCAACCTGAGCTTTCCCAGGAGTCTCCCCTCCAGGTACTGACCAGGCTCATACTGCTGAGCTCCAGTGGGGCTGCCAGCTGTGAGCTGCAGGGTGATATGACTGCAATGAGATAATCTAAAAATATATATTTTAACGTTGCATCAAAAACAAACACGTTTAAAAAATATTGACAGAAAATGTTTTAATCATTATTTACTCTTGATCATTAATGGTGTCATGTATTCTGTGCAAAATTCAGATATGTTCTGATTTAGATATATTCTTGCAAAAGTGAACCCTGTACTTGGTCAAAGTCAGAAAAACAAAGAAATAGTCAAGTTTTTTATTTTTATTGGTCTTTTATATCTGTATTTGAAACAAAATATACAGAATTACTTTTTCATTTCATGGACATATTTTATTTAGAGTGAATTATTTGTTGTCTATTTTGAAGGCTGAAGTTAAGACTATTTCCCTTCATACTATATACAGTATAAGGTTTTTAAAATTCTATTTCTGTATTGTTATTTGTCATTTAAATTAATAAATTGAGCTTTATCATCAGCCTTTTGCAGTTCACAACTAAATGCAGAGATAACTTGCAAGTATCTGACTAACACAGACGTGGTGTAGTAACTCATCTGCCTCAAATCTGCAAATTAACCAATTTATACTCTCCTTTAGGTATACATATTGTAAAATTGCAAAATTGCACTGGGATGTTTAACCGTCTCAGAACTGGTAACTCTGATTTAAAGGTTTGATTCAACAGTTCTAGGATTCAAACAATGAAGGTGCTGAAGAAGTTGTCCTGTCCATACAAGGGAGATGCAAAACATCATATTTTACATAAGAATCTTCTTATCCTATTAATGAAAGTATCTGCGTCATAAGGCTTTACTGTAAACTTGTAAATAAAGAAAAGTTCCTCTTTCTGTTGCACTTTCTATATCACTGTGGTTGTGATGCCATGAAGATGGACAACATTTATGAGAACGTGGAGATGAAATCTCTGGATTATTCATCATGTTCTCAGCCGACAGCTGCCGTGCGGAGTCAAGGGAGTTCGGCAGGTACAGTCCAGAGCCATGCCAATTTAAAACATCCGTGAGGCTGTAGAGTCTGCTAATACCTGTTTCATGTATGAATTGAGATTGAAGGACAAAAGCAAAAAGTGTTTTAAAGTGCTTTAAAGGCAATTGTGTTTGAAAAATACTGACTTAGAAAATCAGATTGATCATTAATGGTGTCGCACACTGTGCGTAATCCTCAGTTATGTTCTGATCTTCTTTCAAAAGCGAACCTTGTACGTCGTCAAAGTAAGAGACACACAGAAATCAATGAGAAAACAATTTCAAGTTCCATTCATTTTTCTTATTTCGCACCAAATAGTTTTTGTTGTTTCATATCTGTGTCATAAATTAAAATCCACTTTTTCATATTATGTACATACTTTTAGAGTGATTTATTTATGACTTTATTTTACCTATTTTTATTTTGATGACTGAATTTAAGAGTATTTGGTTTCCACTATATACTGTATGTAGAAGTTTTTCAAAGGTTCTTTTTTTGTAGTGATCTTTGGCAATTTTTTAAAGTTTTATTTGCAAATTTGGTTTCTCTTTTCTAAAGAGAAAATGCTAGTCTTTCATTTTTTAGGCAGACGCACAGTGAGTTCCTCATTTCAACCACTAACAGCACAACATTCAATATTCACTGTTGTGTGCTTTTTAAATTAGCTGTTGTCTTTACACCCCTGAATTGAGTGTACTTCACATTTCTAGTCTAAGAGAGGTTTTTTAATTACATTATGCCAGATGAGTTTCCTAGTGTTAAACTATTAGCACAATTGGTTGTGATAACATGCAGTGCACAAAGCTTATTCTGTAAATACAATATCCTCAATTTAAAGTGCAAATCTTCTAAATTGAAATAAATGCCACCAACCTTCTGCTTTTCCCAGCTGGGAAATGAGGAATGTCCTTAAACTGCTATAGTAATGCAGTCAGCCAAACACAGTGAAGCCTACTGTAGCTGCTGGTTTCTGAGAGCACACAACCTACTGTATGTTTATTTGCAGCATCCGAGGAAAGACGTGCTGGGAAAGTATCTTTCTACAAGAGGATTACAGTGGCCTTTGCTTGTGTGTGGATCTTCACTGTGATTGCTGGGCTGGGCTTTATCAGTGAGTATTAAAAAACTGTTAGACTGCATGTTTAAAATCTTAATTACTGGATTAAATTTTAGTTTATTTTTCATTTTTTCACACAGTGGCTGATGTCATTTCTGTTTACAATAATTTGTCAATACACATACAGCATTTCACCAGTGCCTTGTGTTTTGGTTAGAATGATTTGTGAATCTTTTCAATCAAGGAACTGTCAGTGACCTACAAGAGACTTTTCAACACAAACATTTAAGACAGCTCATATTTTCAGTTGGGTCCCGTTTTTAACCTCGTCTTGTTTTGTCTTGGATGGATCACCCGGTTCTGGACTTTTTTACTTCTCCTTGGATTACCCCCTGGACTCCTCTGGACTTGTTCGCCATGGCCACGCTCTCCCTCTCCCCGAGCACCAGTGCACAGTCGTCATGCCCCCGTTTGTCAACCTGCCCAGTTCCTCGTCGTCTCCTCCCCTTGTCTGTTTCCACTTACTTCCGGATTATACCGTCTGCACAGGGTCCTGACCAACACATGTTCTCCCCGTGTCTACGTGGGTTTCCTCCACAGTCCGAAGACATGTGCAAAGTATGTGAAACACACATACTTGTGTGTTTCCTGCAATGGAATGGCGTCCTGTCCAGGATGTACCCCGCCTTGTGCCCACTGCTTGCTGGGATAGGCTCCAGCTCCCCTGTGACCCTGATTTGGATAAAGTATTTAGAAAATGGATGGAACACAAGTGCCTTGTGTTCTGGTCAGAGTGCTGTGTGTACCTTCTCAATCAAGGAACTGTTAGTCAGTGAGCTATACAGAGATTTCACAACACAAACATTTCGGGCGGCTTGTGTTTTCAGTTGGGCGTCATGGTTGTGCAGTCATTAGCACTGCTGACTTGCAGCTCTGGGATGCACACACTACTGTGTGTTCCTCATACTTGCATGGATTTCCTCTGACAGTCCAAAGACATGCTGGCAGGTTAATTGGCTTCAGGGAAAATTGGCGCTGGTGTATGTGTGTGTTTGTGTTTGTGCCCTCCGAAGGATTGGTGTCCTATCCATTGTGTATCCCACCATGTGTCCTTATCTCACCACCTTGGGCTCCAGCATCCCCTGTGACCCTGTATTAGACAAAGGGGGTAGGAAATGCATGGGTGGTTGGCCAGAAGTCCTCAGTTAATTACAGAACCTTCACACAGTGATTTGTGAAGCTGCATTTGGAAGACCTTCTCCATGAAAGGCATGACAAAAACTTGTAAGTTTTCAAGAGGTTGAGCTTTAATTGCATTTTTTCAGTTTACCGCAGTTCATTGGAAAATAGACGTGTCTCTGAGCTTCAGAATGATTTGTTGGACTTGAAGATGAACAGCTCCTCACACATCACTGGCAAGTACTATTCTGGGTTTATCATTGTACTGTATGTCTTTTTGCTGGATAAAGTTAATAAATAATAGTTGAATAAAATCATATTAAAATTATGGAGCAAAGTTAAGATGCAGTTTTTACCTTCTGTAACGCCCCATTTTCATATAACTCAAGATCTAGTACTAGATTTCCTTATTGGCCAGAGAATAGTGAGGATTACATGAAGACAAATATCTATATCTTTTATACAGTATATTGTTACACCTATAGGTGACTATTGAAGTGTCTCTAGTACTAGATATTTTTATTGACAAATTTGAGTTGTCTGATGGTCACTTCCATGTTCATCTAACATACTGTATATTCCTATGTTTTATCTGTTGATTATCCAGAGCTACAGAATAATCTGGAGACACTGCAAAGAGAACACTCAGACCTTCAGAGAGACCATTCAGATCTACAGACAGACTACAGAAACATGAACAGAATCTGTCAGCTTACACAGAGCTCCAAGGCTGGTGAGTAACAGTGTCTGCATATTCAGGTTGCATGTGTGTTCGGCGTCACCCCGAACTGCAGAAGAAATTGGAGAAAGAGGAGGCTGAGAACTCCAGTCTGCCAACCTTCACCTTGTTTTCTTACTATCTTATTTGTCCTCCTTTTACAATAAGGATGTGCTTCTGATCTCCATTAATCCAGATTTAATTTACACACTGTCAACTTTATTTCCATATGAAGAAATAGTTTTCCCATCTTCACACAAATAAGCCTTAAACAAGCACTTTTCAGCACTATGTGATGAGACAAAACATGCCAGACCCTGAACACAAATGTGCTCGGTGTCACCCAGAGCTGCAGAAGAAAGTGGAGAATGAGGAGGCTGAGAACTCCAGACTGCAGCATCTCTACAGCAGTATGAAGGGCAGCTATCTCCCCATAGAGATGTGCTTCCCCAACGACACCAACAAGACTGGTAATCACTATTGAATGATTTCCATTTCTAGAGCTCATTATGAATGCATAGGAGTAAGACAAGACACCAATTCACCAGCTCATTAGCCATCTCTCAAGACAAGTGGCATAAAGCATCTAAAGAATTTAGATTTCTCGTAGCACTAATCTTTACTCAAGCACCCTCCTGATCAATCCCATTTTACCACCAATGTGACTACCCATGGTCCATTTTAGGAGATTTCTGACTGGATGGTCATTATGGCCAGGATATTGTTCCTCAAGCCAAGCATAGTAAAGCCCAAAAGCTTTGTGTGATTAATTCAAATGTGACACCTTTTCGGGACAAATATGTGTGTCTCCTGAAAAACCACAGGATGAACAGTCAACACCACAAAAACTGAAGTGATTTTATTTCATTTTTGTAATTCTAAAAAGACCGACTTTATGCTCACTTAGTGTCAATGTTCTTTTATTTCAGTAAGACGTGTGTTATCTGAGTATTCAAGTAAGTTGGTTTTATTTTAAATACTTATTTTAATTTCAGTTGTAGTTGTAACAGCTTTTATATTAGTATGAGGTCTTAACCATAAGCACATAATAAAACAGAAACAGTAAATCTAGAGTTAGGACATTTTTCCAGATCACAGCCATGTGGAATATGTTAGTAACCTCTCAATAGAAAAATTGTACATACTATCTGGGGAGAAAAAAAAAGACGCTGCTTTAAATGATGAATGAGTAGTATCAGGATTAAATGTGTCCTCAGTGAATTAGGAAAGATTATGACATTTAATACTCAGAATTAGGAAAAAACACATCTTCAATTCTCATGTATTCACACTTAAACTGAAATATAGTAAAGCTGCATGTAACTGCCAAAATAAAGGAAAAACTAAATGAGAGATTAGACAAAGTACATGGAAAGCAAGTGTTTCCACATGGGTGTGGATCCCTGAGTTAATCAAGCCAGTAACAGCCCAGTCTCTATGAGAGGGGGGTGATTGTTGGGGCTCTTTTGGCAAGAGATTAGTGATAAAGGCTGCTCAGCTTGTTGATGTTTCATGAGGAACAGTGCCTAAGGTGATGTTGGCATGAAGGTCTGAGGGAAAGACACTATCACTCTGGGGCAACTGTGGACAAATGTGCATAATCCTCAACAGTGATGTCCATCCATCGGTTTAAGATGTGAGGCTATATTGGTGAATAACTCTGAATCATTGGACTGTAAATGGCAATGAGGCATGAGCAGGCAGTTTCATCAAGTATAGTCCATCACGAACTTCACAGAGAGGGATACTATGGTCAGATTGTGATGCACAAACCCCTTATACACCAATGTAACACAGGCAATGGTCAACTGAGATGGTGTGCGGTAGATTTTCCTGGCACAGTGAATGCCAACAAACCATCCTGAGTGATCAGGTTCTTCCTGGCTGAAGCATCTCTAATAGGAGAGGAATCTTCCATGAAGACAATGCCCCTATCCACGGGGCATGGGTGGTCACTGGATGGTTGGATGAGCATGAAAATAATGCCATGACCACCCCAGTCACCTGATCTCAACCCCATTAAACACTTATGGGAGATTATGGAGTGAGACAGCGTTCTCCACCACCATCAACAAAAACATTCATCTCATTCTTTCATGAGAACACGATGGTTTTCTCTTGAAAACATGGTGTCCAGTACAGTGCCATTCACTTGTAGAATCTGTCAAGTTGCATAGCTGCTCGTTGTTGGCCCAACACCCTATTAAGACACTTAGTTACCCGTAAATAAAAACACAGACAGTAAAATAATGAAAAGGCATTATTAATATATTCAATAAGTGTCGATTTTCTTCACAACAGGAAAGGAAGGAGTTACCCCCATACCAGGTAACTATTTGTCTTTTCATTTCCTCTTGAAAGGTCTAGTAATATATTATTTTGAATAAAAATCATAGCATGTGATTGAATGGATTTAAATCCATTATATAGAA